CTCACTTGGGCCCACACCTGTCACTCTCCCCGCCACACCCCAGGGCCCTTTTCCTTCCATGTCATTTGAGCCTCTCAGCATCATGTGAAAACTCAGTCTCCTCCACTGCCTGTCACTCCAGCCATCACCCACGGAGAACAGCCCACAGCCCCCCCAGTTCACCTCCAGTCAACAGATTCCTCCTTGCTCACAGCCTATCCGCTATTCAATCAGCTGGTCATGAGGAGCTTTGAAACATCTTACTGTTTCTCTTCCTTTTAATGTTTTATTATGGAAAATTTCAAAGATATAAAAAAGTAGGCAGAAAAAAAATGAACCCAGTTCACCATCCAGCTTCATTTATACTGTTCTCCATGTCAGTCACTCAATGTAACTTCCCCCAACCTTATCCACTGACATTATATGATTTCATATTTCATTCATAAATATTTCAGCATGTTTCTCTAAAAAGCAGTAACTTTTTATTGTGAATATGAAATCATTATCAAACCTTAAATAAAATAACAATAATGCTTTCTATCATCAATTATTTACTAGGTGTTCAAATTTCCAGTTGCCTCCTAATTTTTCTTTTTAGTCTGTTTCTTTGAATCAGGATCCAGATAAGATCCATTGAAATTTCAGAAACTGTATGGACCTACCATCCCCATTTTAGTGCTTCCGAGTTTGGTTCTGTTTCTTACTTCCAGTGTGAACACGTAATGTAGTGTTTCTGTCTCTTTCTGAAAATTGGTTGTTAAATCATTAACACAATTCAGAAAATATAGTAATTTATGAGAAAAATGTAAGACATCATTCTTAGAAAAGTTAACAATGCTTTTCCATGTACTTAAGATCCTGTAGGGGAACAAAATTTGCCGCCCAAAATGTCTCTTTGCCATGTGGATTATCTCAAACTGAAAACGATCAAGGCCCAAAAGACTCAGGAAGAAACTTTGACCTTCCTCCTAACTGCCTAAAAAGAATTTAGATGGAAGGCCTGTGCCTGGAATAGAGTTATCACTAGAGATATCGGCAAAGAATGTGGGTTGGGTGTGGTGGGGAAACTTAGACATCAGAGTCCACTCTCTGTCCCACTGTCTCCACAGGGCCCCTCCAATATTTATTTACCAAACATTTGCTTTTCCATCTTCATGGCAATTGCCTTCCTCCCCTTTGAAGTCTCAGGTCCCTACCCCTAACATCCTCTGTTGTCTTTAACTGCTGATGGTATTTAAGGTGAGGGTTTCAGACATTTTGGTGAGTTACTCAGTTCTTCTGGGCCTCTCCCATGTATACAGGTTATTAAACTTTTGTTTGATTTTCTCCTGTTAATCTGTCTCAGGTCAATTTGATCGTTATACCGTCCAGAAGAACCTAGAAGGGTAGAGGGAAATTTCTCGCTCTCAGACAATCCTCTGGGCCTAGTCTAGACCTTTTACTATATTAGCTTTGCCAGTTTTCAACACTGATTTTACCCAACCACCTGTTTCCTCCACCTCTTTTCCAGGGTTGCTGGAAATAATCTCATAAGCAGGCTGTTTATATGCATCACAAATTCAGGCCATCAGCTGGGCCATCCCTACTCATCCCTAGTTGATTCCCTATCGGTTTCACCACAGCAGCTGTTGCAGCCTCCTCCCCTCCCCCACAAGTCTCCAGAACCTGGGCCTCCTTCTCGGCAGATACCTTCACATCCACACGAACGACCAGAATGTCAGTGCCCACCGTGAACTTTCTCAGCTCTTCTCCCTTCCCCCTCAGATTTCCTCTCACTTTTCCTTCTGGATTCAATCAGAAGTTCTCAACCAGGGGAAATTTTTCTGTCTCCCCACATTTGCCAGTATCTGGAGACATTCTTGATGGTGAGGACCACAGGGGGTGCTACTAGCATGTGGAGTGGGGGAAGGCTGGAGATGCTGTGAAACATCCTACAGGCCAGCCCCTCACAACAAAGAATTACCGGGTGATAGCTGTCAGTAGGCTTGGGGAAACGTGGGTTAGAGATGGTCTCTTGGCTCCTGCCCTACCTGCCTCTCTGCCCTCCCTGTTCAAGAGCATTCTCGAGAAGGATATGGCACCTGAGTTCTTGCCTCTTCAAGACCAAATCTGGGCACCAACCAGCTTGGCCACTGGCCCAACCTGACTGGCTCCACAGGCCAGCGGTGGAGTGGGGCATAGATGGTCTTGTGCATCCCCATTTCCCTTTAATGCTTTATTAACATCTGTTTTACAACACTCACTAGAGAAACTACAGCTACTTGTGAACACATCTCTCTCATTCCAAGGCTCAGAGCCATATTTTACTCATCTCTGTTTTCTCCACAGCACCAAGCTCTTTGCATTGCATTTGGCAGATGTGCAATAAATATTTATTGCATCAAATTAGATTGGTATCATTTACATTTTTATCATGCTCGGGGCATCTCTTTGAAAGGTAATGGAAGCACAGAACACAAATGCCAGTTAAAGCAAGAGCTTTTGTGTTTTTGTTCTTGTGGAGTCCAAAGGAAATGCCTGCTATTGCTACTTTGCAGTATACTTACATGAGCTGCCAGCGGAAGTTAGCAACTATTTTAAATTAAGGTATTTTTACGATAAATGACTAGAGATTTGAGAGAACTCTTACTTAGAGAAACTCTCTTATTTTTAAGACTCTTCTTCATTGTTTTTTTTAAAAATATTTATTTATTTACTTACTTGTTTGGTTGCATCAGGTCTTAGTTGCGGCAGGTGGGCTCCTTAGTTGTGGTTCCAGAGCTCCTTTATTGTGGCTTGTGAACTCTTAGTTGCAGCATGCATGTGGGATCTAGTTCGCAGAACAGGGATCGAACCCAGGCCCCCTGCATTGGGAGTGCAGAGTCTTAACCACTGCACCACCAGGGAAGTCCCTTCATTGGTTATTGTAAGTGGGAAAATGTTTCATTTTCAACCTGGAGAAATATGCTAATCTTTCACTTATTAATCATTTATAATCTATAAATTATAGGCTTTCCATGTTCTTTTCTTTTTCTTTTTTTTTTTTTTGCGATACACGGGCATCTCACTGCTGTGGTCTCTCCCGTTGCGGAGCACAGGCTCCGGACGCGCAGGCTCAGCGGCCATGGCTCACGGGCCCACCTGCTCCGCGGCACGTGGGATCCTCCCGGACCGGGGCACGAACCGGCGTCCCCTGCATCAGCAGGCGGACTCCCAACCACTGCGCCACCAGGGAAGCCCGGCTTTCCATTTTCACAGTGGACAAAATTAGGCAGAGTCTTAGAAGCTTAATAAGAAGCAAAATTTTCTAATATCGTTCTCTTTCCAATGTATAGGTAGTCTCAGACTTTTAAAAACTGGTTAATACCTGAATTCTTTTAAACTCTCAAAATTGAGAAAGTAAGCCAAGGGTCTATTCAACTTGGCATTCCCCAGAAGGGCAGATTTAAGCAAAAGATGTAACATTTGAGGGCTAAGGGTCTAATTTCATTTTTTTCTACTCTGTTTAATATGGGATTTTATAAAACTTACTTAATTTCCTAGTGTCTCAGTTTCCTGACACTGTTCTTGCAAAGGGCTGGTGTGAAAATATTTTCAAAGAAATAAGTTAAATATTATTTTCTCTAAATTGAGTTGTCTTTCTTCCACTTATGGCTTAAAATTGTGGATCACTGCTTAAACGTCATCCTCCAGGGACTTCCCTGGTGGTCCAGTGGCTAAGACTCCACGCTCCCAATGCAAGGGGCCTTGGTTCGATCCCTGGTCAGGGAACTCAATCCCGTATGCCATAACTAAAGATCCTACACATGGCAACAAAAATCCTGCATGCTGCAACTAAAGATCCCAAACATGGCAACAAAGGTCCTGCAAGCCACAACTAAAGATCCGGCACACAGCAACAAAGATCCTACGTGCCACAACTAAGAACCGGCACAGCCAAATAAATAAATACTAAAAAAAAAAGTCATCCTCCAAGTGAGGTCTTTCCTGACCACCCTGTATAAAATTAAGGCCCGTCAATACTCTATATTCTCCCCTCTCTGCTTTATTTTTCTCTATAGCACTTACTGGCTTATTGTCTGCCATCCCCCACCAGAATATAAGCTCCATTAAGTCAGGAGTTTTGGCTACTTTGTTCACTGTTTTATCTCCAGCACCTAGAATGATGTTTGGCACACAGTAGTTCTCAATAAACATTTACCGTACGAATGAACAAATTATGCAAATCTAGAAATGTCATATGCTATAAAGCTATCAAAGGCATGAATTAGATGTAATTGAATCAACATGGCTAGATCTCAAAAGCATGTATTTCAGTCAAATAAAAGCAAGTTGCAGGATAATGCATAAATTTCCTCATCTCCAAAATAGGGCTGGTAATAGCATTGTTATGAGGATCAAGGTAGTTCATTAGCGTTAAATGCTGAGACCCGTGATACAAGCACTCAATAAATGTTAGTGGTCATCATTATTATTGCTGTATCACTGATGATGAACAGTTCACATAAAGTAATATTACTAATTTTGTATGATATAATCTAATTTTATATAATTAAGTAATTTTAAGACTACGGAAGGATGCAGTATAGACCAAGCTGATTAATTCTGTGAGGAGAGAAAACTCAGATTAGAATGACGGTCAAAGAGAGTATTAACCTCATCTGTCATGTTCTAATATTTTAAATGTAAATGATGCATATAACTACAAAGTAATATTTAGAAAAGTTTAGTCGTATTTCCTGAGACATAAGGACCTTTAGGGCTAGGAGGAGAGGAAGAGAGAATGGAGAGATGAATTACTTAGGGTAAGAAAATTTTTTAAGTTTTCTATTTTATTTCTGAAGTGCTTCTTGAATAATCACGGCATGGATAGGATGCCCTTAGCCTAGAATAAAAATAACCAGAGAAAAGAGCCACATACACAACTGATCCAGGGTCCTGGATGGATTACATGAGTTAGTTCTCATAGATTGGAGGAAACTATCATTAACACAATCTTCAAGTTAGGAATAAATTATTCAAAGCCTTGTGTCATTACTTACTGCAGTTTCAGCCACTCTTCCACAAATGGAATGGAGAAGAATTCTGTGAATGTCTCCCCTATCCTCTTTGGATTTTGACTGGTCACGATGCCATATGTTTTGATTAACAAGAAAACAATAAGCAAGAATTCAAGTCAATTGTTGCTATTCTGCTGGCAAATTAACACTATTGAACCCTTAGGGTCATGGAATATTCAAAGATGTGAAAAACTTACTTGTATAACCATTCGGTCAGAAAATCACAGGCAATGAATTTGGTTCTTTTCCTCTAAAGAGAGAAGAGAGAATTAAATTATATTCTTTGCCCCCATGTTTAAGTTGGACAAAGGAGGAGGGGTTAATTGATTGCTTGTGTTAGATGAAATATGCATAAGTCCTTGGTGAGGTTTATAAGCACACCAACAAACAATAACTCAGGCAATGTAAAGAATTTTGACAACATTTCGCTAGTCATCTTGGGTAAGCATATATTCTGACAATATTAGCAGGGACTAATAAAAGACAATGCACATAGTAGGAGGCTTATTACATGCATTTTGGATTTATCTCAGAAGGATTTCTTTAAATCTAGACCTTGATTCAGAGTAAGTATATTTATTCCTTTCCCCCAGTCCACTCAGATCCTCAGAATAGCAGTACTTCGGGTCTGGGTGCAATTGGCCAGTGCATTGACTCTGCCAGCTGCCCACCCATCAGCCCCTCTCCACTTCATCCTTATTACCAGAAACCTGATGACAATCAGTCCAGGGGAAAAACATTTCCCAGCCTCCCATGTAGCAAGGGACAACCATATGACATAGTTCTGCTGTTTGAGATAGAAATGGACATGTCCCATGGATTTCTGAGAAAGTGCTACTTTCTTGATTTCTGCTGCCCTTTTCTTTGAAGTTTCCTTCTACTTCTTTCAGTCTGGAACACAGATGTGGGGCTGGAAGTGGAGCAGCACCTACCAGCCAAGAGGCCAAAAGCAGGGGGTTAGAAGGAACCTGGGCCTTTAATGACTTCTTTAAGCCACTGTACCAGTTTGTGGCTGACCTACTCTGGATATCCTGATACGTAAGGAAAGATAAACTCCATCTGGATTATTGGCACTGTTCTTGAGTTTTCACAACATGAAGCTGAATGCAGTTCCTAGGTGATAGATAGCTAGTAAGCCACAGGGAGAGAACGTCCTAGAGTAATGGGGGATGAGGCTTGCAGAACAGCAATGGAGAGGAGCACTGGGTATCCTGCCTCCTAGTCCCATTTAAAGTGTCTTGTAACCCAAACAGAACCAGTTAACTCCTTTTAGAAGATTGTTATGGGACTTCCCTGGTGATGCAGTGGTTAAGAATCACCTGCCAATGCAGGGGACACGGGTTCGAGCCCTGGTCCGGGAAGATCCCACATGCCGTGGAGCAACTAAGCCCATGTGCCACGACTACTGAGCCTGCGCTCTAGAGCCGGCAAGCCACAACTACTGAGTCTGTGTGCCATAACTACTGAAGCCCACACGCCTAGAGCCCGTGCTCCACAACAAGAGAAGCCACCGCGATGAGAAGCCCGTGCACGGCAGCGAAGAGCAGCCCCTGCCTTCCGCAACTAGAGAAAGCCCGTGCGCAGCAACGAAGACCCAAGGCAGCTAAATAAATAAATAAATATTGTTAAAATAGCAGGGGCTAAGAACCAGTCGTTGGTTAGTTACCATGTGAAGAGATCCTTCCCAGGAATGAAGGCAAGACAGACTGCTGGAAGTTCTCCTTGCCCCCCAGGTGCACCCTTTTCCACCACACTCTGCGCCTTAGGAGGCTGATCTTATGGTTCGTATCAACCGGGCTCGTTTACTCTGTTGTTGGGTCCAGCCACTGGGAGGTACCAGCAGGAGATCCGAGAGAGGGAAGAGAGAAAGGCAGGGTATAATGGGTTGAGCTGTGTCTCCTCCCGGCCCCTTTGCCCCAAATTCATATTCTCCCACACTTCAGAAAGTGACCTTATTTGGAAATTGGATCATAATTAGTTAAGCCCAGCCACTCCTGAAGTACACAACAACTCCAGCGAGAGTGAACAAATTTAGGGTTCTATTAGTAAGGAAGAAGAGTAGACCACCAATGGCAGATTCCTAACGACATTGTGCTAGACCCTGGATCCAGCTATGCCTGAAGCCAAAATCCCCTGAACCTTTCATGAGCCAATATATTTCCTTTTTTTACTCAGCCAGTTTGTGTTGTTTATTGCTTGCAACAGTAAGAGTTTTAGTTACTATTCCTTTCTTCTCCCATTGGCTAACTCCATTTGCCTTTCAAGATGCCTCTTGGGGGCTTCCCTGGTGGCCCAGTGGTTAAGAATCTGCCTGCCAATGCAGGGTACACAGGTTGGAGCCCTGGCCCAGGAAGATCCCACATGCCACGGAGCAACTAAGCCCGTGCACTACAACTACTGAGCCTGCGCTCCAGAGACTGTGCACCACAACTACTGAAGCCCGCACGCCTAGGACCTGTGCTCTGCAACAAGAGAAGCCACCGCAGTGAGAAGCCCGCCCTCTGCAACTAGAGAAAGCCCACTCGCAGCAACCAAGATACAACACAGGCAAAAATAAAATAATTAAAAAAAAAAAAAAGATGCCTCTTGGAAGCCTTTCTGAGCATTCTTACCCTCTTCAGTTTAGAGTAAGCGCCTCCCACCACCGCCAGTTCTGTGTGTCCCTCTGTCATAGCACCTCAGGTGTAACTGTAACCTAACTGCCAGCCCACATGCCCATTTCCTCTATCAAACTATAAATTCTCTGAGGACAGGGGATGTGTCTTCTTTTTCTTTATGTTCCCAGTGCTTGAGTGCCTGGCAAAGAGTAGGTGATCAATGAGTGGTGAGTAAGTGAATGAATGACCTCACCGTTCAACTCTCAAGCAAAAAAGCAAGAAGGAACTCATGCACAAGAATTCTGACATTTATAAGTAGGCATTGCTAATAAATTCTGGACAATTTCTCTTCACTTTCTTCCCCTAATGTTTTATTTATTAGGGGAAATATTTTCTTCTTCTTTTTTTCTTTTTCCCCCTTTACTTTGAAATAGCCAAATTAGCTTTATAAGCTTAAATAAGGTTAAAAAGATGGTTGTAAAATTGATTCTCACCAAAAAGGAAAGTGCCACTTAAGATTTTTCACTGAAAGCTTTATTATAGCTGTTAGTAAATAAAATACTGGTGCCTGATTTGCTGGAGATGCAGTCTTTTACCTCACTGCTGATAGCCTTTTATTAAAAAATTGAAATACTGCTGGCCATGGTAATAAAATTAAATGTACTAGACCATGTAATGGGGTCTTCTAAGTCTGCATTGCAAGAGTAAGATTCCCCTTGAAAAGCTATCTTTAACCAAAATAAGAAAATACTTGTACAACAATGCAAATATGTATCTAGCATGAATCGCCATCTAATAATTTAAACAATCCTGCAGCTGTAGGAGAGCAGTGTCTCTCTCTCTCTCCTTACAAAAGATGCATTGTTCCCTTAGCATTCATTGCACCGTTTGGTGGTAAAGATTCCTTCTATGAAGGGAATGCAGCTTGACTTACTCTATTAAATAGACTTTTAAAATAGCCAAATGGTCTGATGTATGAAGGTCATGTAGACAGATTTAATCATTTTGATGCAAAGAAATAAAATTGAAGAAATTGTGTTTTCCTTCTGTCCTGGGCAAGTGTGGACGTGCTGTGCATACTCAGACACACAGAACAGTGGCGATATTGTTCAGCTGTTGTTTAGTTTAAAAATTATCTGCTGGGAGCTGAAAGAGAGAAGGGAAAGCAAATGAAAAGTTGTGGTGAGTGAGGAGATAAGAGAGGAAGTAATAGAGAGAAAATTAAAGAGTGAGATTAAGAAAGTGTGGGCACTGGGGTTTATGTAATGTGGCCAAATACACAGAGTTCATGATTGTTAACGGGTAAAAATGCCCAAGTTTGGGTAAGCAGGGTGATCAGTTAAGGCAACCTTATACGAGGTTAAAAAACAATTTTTAAAAAATCCAGAATTAAAAGGAAAAAGACTAAGCGTCAAGGGATAAGGCATCATCATGAATCTGCACCTCTGTTGTGCATCCAAGAAAACAAGCTGGGTGCACAGCAGGATGAGTTGATAGACTGGTGGACAGATAATGACGAAGCAAATAAAGCGAAACAGTAACCATGAAACCTAGGTGGTAAACATGTGGGTGTTTACTCTGAAATTCTTCCAGCTCTTCTACATGTTGGAAAAAAGTTTATAATAAAACTGAGGGCAGGAGAACAAATCATAAAAGACTCAAACCCCAAAGAGAGAAAGGGCAGAAATCAGACAGTATTTTGTACCAATTTTTATGTTGAATACACGTATAGGAGGCAGACTGGAGGACTGAAGATGGGAAAGAGGAACAACCCACATTAAAAAGCCACTGATGCTCTTTCAGTAACTAATGTAATTTCACCCCACCAAGGTCAAAAGCACAGGCTGTGAGCTTAGTGAAGCATGGCTGGCTATAGCACGGTGTTGGTTGAGGCTCTTTGGGTCTGCAAGGGAGAGAAAGCTGCTCGGGTTACCTTGGTTACTGGGCTTTTTTCAAAAGTGCATTTAGGCTAGACTTTGCTGTAACAAACACCCCCCAAATCTGAGAAGCTTATGTCATCGATGGTTTCTCCCTCGTGTTACACGAACATTTCCACCAGCGTGGCTCTCCGCTCCATGCGATCTTTGCTCTGGGCCTCAGGCTGACAGGGCAGCCTCTCTCTGAAATGTTGCTGGTTGTCATGGCAAATGACACGGATATGGCGAAGTATTCTTTGACTCTTAAAGTACATTTTAAATGACACGTCCATTCATTCCACTGACCAAAGCAGTGACGTGGTCAAGCTTCCCTTAGGGAGAGGCCACAAATATTTTTGAACAATAATATAACCTAGCACAGGGGTTACTGTAAAGGTAGAAGGAATGTGAGAATTCCTCTTACCAGGGGCAGAGCCAGGTCTCGGGAAGAAGCGGACCAGTGTCCACAGCTGTCCAGGCATGGGACAGGTTAGCCAGAGTCGTCCACCAGTAGCTTGGTGACCCAGCAACAGCTCTGCTCCTAGCTGTACACGGAACTCAGCTTTTTGGCCGTGGCTTCTTTCTCAACTTGCTGCTGCTTTCTCTGCTGCTCTCTCCTAACTGGTTCTTTCTCCTGCTGTCTCTGCTTTGAGGTCTGCTGACTCATGGTTTTTCAAGCTTTCTCCTGTCTCTGGTGTTTCTCCCCTTCTACCCACACTATGATCTGCCCTTTCTCT